AAATTAATCGATTTAAAAGCACCAATAACATATGGCGTCTAACTGAATTTCGTCGAAGAAAGAGAAAGACCGAGAGAGAAATGCGATGTTGCAGAAGAGGCGAGATGAAGATGATCGAAGATTCTGCATGTGGAAGACGAAAAAGCCGGTATAGAAGGGAAAGTGTCTTCAAAATCTCCACCAGACTCGGTCTCAGCGTCCAAGTGCAAGGTTGTGCGTTTTTTTCGGTGAAATTCTTTTCCACCATGTCGGTGCTTCTTATCAAGGAAACTATCGTAAGTATTGCCGTTCTTGTCATTTTTTTTCTAAATTTTTGTACAAAATACTGTATAGATACTGTATTTTATTTTTATTTAACAAATACAATATTTTGAGTATTTTCTTAATGAATTGACTCAAAAATAAGAAAGAGACAAAAAAGGTGGCCAAAAACACAAAAAATATTCGATAACTGGTTTTAATTTAAGAGCAATAGTGAATTTCAAAATTACAGTTGGGGGTTGGAACTTTTGGTGTTACACAGCAAAATAAAACACTAAATCACCAAAATACACCAAAACACTTTTACTTTTACACTGGACGCGCGTTTCTCTAACCATGTTAGCATCATCAGCAGATGATCAAGACTCTTTTCTACCTTATCACTAACGTTACTTTTCGGGATATTAACTTTAATAAAACTAGGATAAACTGAATTGGCTTTGCATGATTTAAGAAACCAAATATCTGCTCCTAATAACCTAATCTTAGTATTAAACTGACGATAAAGATTTAGTTCCATTGACCGTGAAGCCATCGAAGATTACAGTTGGGGGTTGGAACCTTTGGGGTTGCACAGCAAAATAAAACACTAAATCACCACAATATACCAAAACACTTTTACTTTTACATAACTTTTTGTCTTGATTATCTGCCAATGATGCTTACATGGTTAGCGAAACGCGCGTCCAGGATAACAGTAAAAGTGTTTTTGCGAATTGTGATAATTTAGTGTTTTATTTTGCAGTGAATTCAAAGATCAAAAAGACGATTAGTCTATATCATTATGCCAGTAACTATACAGGTTGGTTCGAATTATATTCTGGAAACTTTGGCAGCATATTCTGCAGATAAAAACAAATAAAAAAATTCTTATAAATTTATGTCCTTAAAATACTTCGTTTCGGAGATACAGGGTGTAGAAGTTTCATTTTTATTTCGGTTTCTTTTACATACTTTCTGAACTAACGTCGATATTAAGATGAAAGGGAAGAAATGGGATTTTTTTTATTTTGATGTCAATTGTCAATATGACTTGTAGATGGCGCTACCTACATATTTTTAACTAGTTTGAAGAGCAATAACTTTTTGTCTGTACCTGTATGAAACTACTGAGGAAAAACATATACATTTTTATCATTAGAAAATGTGTTTTGATAAAAACTCGCTAACGAGTAATGGTTCTCGAGATATTTCGAATCGAAATAACCAATACATGTCATCATTGACATAAATTAATTTTTAAAAAATGTCTATACCTATGTGGCGGATTCATCTCTCCACAAAATCCTATATGGGTATTTTGCCACTGCAAGAACATTTACAAAATAAAATAGTTATTTTTTGTAAGCACTTCTGCGTTAAACACAAACGGCAACATACTACTGGGTAAATTAATTTCTAGTATAGTATGACTTTTTTTGAAATTTTAGTTTCGGAGATATACATTTAATCGGATCTTTTAAAAAAAATATTTTTTTTTTCAGAAACTATTTGAGACAGAGTTTACCAAAAATGCTTTTTATAACTACTACTGGGTAAATGAATTTCTAGTATAGTATGACTTTTTTTTGAAATTTTAGTTTCGGAGATATAAATTTAATCGGACCTTTTAAAAAAAATATTTTTTTTCAGAAACTATTGAGACAGAGTTTACCAAAAATGCTTTTTATAACTACTACTGGGTAAATGAATTTCTAGTGTAGTATGACTTTTTTTGAAACTTTCGTTTCGGAGATATAAATTTAATCGGACCTTTAAAAAAAAATATTTTTTTTTCAGAAACTATTTAGGACAGAGTTTACCAAAAATGCTTTTTATAACTACTACTGGGTAAATGAATTTCTAGTATAGTATGACTTTTTTTGAAACTTTAGTTTCGGAGATATAAATTTAATCGGACCTTTTAAAAAAAATATTTTTTTTTCAGAAACTATTTGAGACAGAGTTTACCAAAAATGCTTTTTATAACTACTACTGGGTAAATGAATTTCTAGTATAGTATGACTCTTTTTGAAATTTTACTTTCGGAGATATAAATATAATCGGACCTTTTCAAAAAAATATTTTTTTTAGAAACTATTTGAGACAGAGTTTACCAAAAATGCTTTTTATAACTACTATTGGGTAAATGAATTTCTAGTATAGTATGACTTTTTTTGAAACTTTAGTTTCGGAGATATAAATTTAATCGGACCTTTTAAAAAAATTAATTTTTTTCAGAAACTATTTGAGACAGAGCTTACCAAAAATGCTTTTTATAACTACTACTAGTTAGGTTTACAGTTATACAAATTTGCCTAACAAAGAAAAAAATTGCTTAACGTTTTGGAAAGTTTATCTCTTTCCGGCGTCGGAAGCAAAAATAAATACAAAGAATAAAGAAAAAAACTATTTAAAATATTTAAATTCAACTATTCAACTATTGTAGACGTATCTATTTAAAAAAACTAAATTGTTGAATTTAAATATTTTAAATAGTTTTTTTCTTTATTCTTTGTATTTTTTTGCTTCCGTCGACGGAAAGTTTATCTCTTTCCGTCGTTTATCTGTTCTAACGTTAAGCATGTTTTTCGTTGTTAGGCAAATTTGTATAACTGTAAACCTAACTTCTGACAAGTAGTTTCCGTTTGGGTTTAACGCAGAAGTGTTTACAAAAAATAACTATTTTATTTTGTAGATTTTCTTGCAGTGGCCAAATACCCATATAGGATTTTTTGGAGAAATTAATTTTTATTTTAGACTGAAATAAAAAAAAATTAAATGTTTTTGTGCCAAAGATTCAACTAAAATTGTTTTATCACCATTTTTTCGAAGAAAAATTTATGATTAATTTAAAAAAATAAAAAGTGGCCAAATTTATAATTTCAGTAAAATTTCAAAATATTAAATTTATAATAATTTCATTAAACATGTCCATTCTAAATATTTTGAGAGCGGTTGCTTTTAGCGAATTTTACCAAGGGACATTTTTTTACGTAAAAAATAACAAACATGTATATTTTTATTTATTGTAGTTTTATACTAGTACCGATGAAAAGTTGTTAACTATTCAAAACAAATTTATCAAAATCGAAATCAAATTTATCAAAAAATACCCAGACACCATTTTTTATCCAAATATCGACAATAGTTTAGAAATTATTTAGAAAAAATCGAAATAAAAGTGAATCTTCTACAACCTGTATGTCTGATACGAAGCATTTTAGGACTTACATTAATACGTGGTTTTTCCTTATTTTTATATGCAGAATATGCTGCCGAAGTTTTCCGAATACAATTCGGACCACCCTGTAGAATAAAGCTATAAGACTATCGAATATAAACAAACGTAACATAAGTTAACAACATAAGTAAAGAAAAGAAATATAAAAGTAAATTAAAACATAGGCTTTTTAATATGAAGTAAAAAATAAATATTTTATGAGTTTGGCGCTCTATTTTGTGAACCCAGAAAGGGCATATTCATTCTATGGAATTACCCGTGAAGTTTCTAAATAATACCCAAAACAATAATTTTATTTGTAACATTTAATTATTATATCAATGCTGAAAGTATACCAAGGTTTTTCATTTTTTGCAGATGTTCTTTATAGTAACGTTTATTGTACTGTCAGTTTTTATCTTTGAGTATTGCACGAGAAATATCGAAACTATACTTACACAAATCATAGTACGATCACCTACCGATTTCAAATTTTTGGTAAGACATTTCAATATACTTTGTGTCCTGTAAAATACTAACTAAAGCAATGCTTGTGCACAGCAGGGTTTTTTCGCAAACTGTTCTGTTACTGATATTTTAGGATCTAATTTAGAAAGAATTCTTAATTTTTTTCGTGTGATCTTATAATACCGTATGATTGAACAATTAGCGTCCATACCTTAATACAAAAGATCTCTAAATACACCGGTACGAAAAAAAAGCACCTTAAAATTTTGATGTATTTTAAAGCTTATTATTTTGTTCTAGTGGGCTGAATTTGATCATTTTTTAAGCGCTATGCAGCTAAATTGTTTGACTTTTTAGCATATTTTTCTAAATTAAAAATAAAATGTTGATATTTTGGTGAAAGTTTAAAACACCCTTTGGAATATAATGTAATACAGGGTTGTTCACCACATTCACGGAGTATTGTAGCTAAACGATTAGATTTTTACAAATTGTAAGTTTTGGGTTCGTTGTAGGATCATTAGAGCTACAATTTAAAAATAATTTTAAAAGATACAGAGTGTCCCAAATAAGTAAAAAATATTATAGTTGGAATGGAATACCCTGTATTTCATTCTATTTTTAGATACTACGATTAAAATAAAGGTAAATTTGATTAAAGTTTATCACACTTAAACTTTACCGTTTTTGAAATATTTTCAATTTTGTGAAATTGCAGTAAAAAATTCAAGGCTTCATTTCTCTAAGGGTATCAGAGTTTTTAATACTACATATTTACTGAAGATTATTTATTGATTAGATATTGTGTTGCAATAATAAAAATTATACTTCCTTATACAGAGTGTCTAAAAATTTATATTAAATTATTACTAGCTTTAAACGACAATAACTTGTTTAATTTAAATGGAACACTCTGTATATTTTACGTGATTCAAATGCACAATTTAATTGTCTATCAAATTGTACTAAACCATCTTTTACCTATCTCTTCAAGTTTTCGAAGAAAATGGATTTTTTATAATTTAGACCTCATTTATCACTATACCCATGGAATATTGACATTTTAGATTTTTTTAAAGTAACATATGTACAAAATACTATTCAAAAATAATAATATTGCAAGCCCATTTGTTGCAAACAGAAAACTATTTAAATCTTTGTAAAAGAGTATACCTATTAAATATAATTTCCTCCCAAAAATTAGTTAATTACATACCATTTTAATTAATAAATTATTCTAAATCAATATGGATTTGACTCAGAAATCAATATAATAATAAGTTACGAAAATGAACGTCTCTGTTATAAAAATAAGCATTCGTCAAAAATTAAAATAAAATTTAT